GCATGATTACCCATCAATACATCAAAGAAACCAGGGCTAATACCTTTTCACATTGGATTCCTATATTTTGTAGCATGAATTACCCATCGATACATCAATAAACCCAGAGCTAATACCTTTTCACATTGGGTTCCTATATTTTGTAGCATGAATTACCCATCAATACATCAATAAACCCAGAGCTAATACCTTTTCACATTGGGTTCCTATATTTTGTAGCATGAATTACCCATCAATACATCAATAAACCCAGAGCTAATACCTTTTGACATTGGATTCCTATATTTTGTAGCATGAATTACCCATCAATACATCAATGAAACCAGGGCTAATACCTTTTCACATTGGGTTCCTATATTTTGTAGCATGAATTACCCATCAATACATCAATAAACCCAGAGCTAATACCTTTTCACATTGGATTCCTATATTTTGTAGCATGAATTACCCATCAATACATCATTGAAACCAGGGGTAATACCTTTTCACATTGGGTTCCTATATTTTGTAGCATGAATTACCCAACTCGGAGCCAAGACCTTTCACACTGAATCTTGTCACATGAATTACATTAATACATCAATGAATTCTGTCCTTGTACATGTATTTAGCGTTATATTGTAGCATGAATAACCCACCAATTTACTAAGAGATACAAATAGTTGCATTCAATCCTTAAATCATACAAGATGAATTATCCATCAATACATCTATGAACTTTCGAATTCATTTATTTAAAAACGTGAAACACTGACATCTTTGCGAAATGTACGATTCTGCAAAGCAAAACAATAATTAAAACTATCTAGTGTAATTTCACATACGATTTGAGAGGATGAGTGTGAGCTTTAAGACCCTGATCATCATTTGTTAAAGTTTCCAGCCTGTTGATCCCTGTATAGTAGGTCTGATATGTAACAGAACCTTGCATTTGGTTTGCTAACAAGTCTTTTGTAATGTCTATTGAAAGACAAGAACAGATCTGTTCTTGTGATGGATAATTTGATGACAATATATAGGATCTATGATTCTGTGAGTGGTACCACTTTTATAAGGACACGAGTGAGATTAGACTGGAGTTTACACCAGTGGTTTCTAGAATGTACCAGGCTGTAAATGATAATATAATGTCGGGTTGGGTGGCAGCTAACAACTCTACTTGTAGGGTGAATGTGTTACCCCTGAGAATGAAGACCCCAAATGTTTAAAATGGAGAATCATCGATCCCAGGTACCCCCGTGCTTGCAGCTGAGACAATATCATGCCTTTTCAGGCCAAACTGAATTTCAATACTTGATACTTTGTAATATTTGTTTGAGTAAATATTGCCATAATCTAGTGAAACGCTGTAATGTATACTTTTACTCATGTTATATATATTTGTGAGACGCCCCTTACTTGTAGGTCATTGGAGATGACCCCTAACACGTGATGTAAGTTATTCTCTGGTATGACGACATTCTTGTAATGGTGGCCTGTATGAAACATCGTGTGAATGAATAAAAGCTGTTTCTGCCTCACTGGTTGGACTTGTGTGAATACATTACAAACGCAAACTTCTTGGGGAATGCAGCTTGCATGTACTCAATGTGTTAACACCCGCACGAGTGCTAGGATGATAGGCCAGACAACTGGCTAGATGATTAGATAATGCCTGTTCACGACCTAATCTCATAATTTGCTGCTATGAATAGTGAATGATGTGAACATTTGTGTAATTCGGTACTTTCAAGAAGTTGGTGTAAGATTTTCACAAATACAGAAATTGAGATTATTACCGTGTTCACATCATTTTTTGTGTACCTTAACGCTGGTCTACTTTCGTAGGCGTAAGAGAAAAACACATTAGGCCAACGTAAAAATGTCAGGGTTTAAAACCTTGAAAGAAAGTATAAGTAGTTGGATGGTAGTTGGATTAGAGATATATTTGACGACGCGTGTATACCCTTGCCAGCATGAAATAACAAAGGTGTACGTTTATCATGATGTGAAAGTTGAGATTGATTGCAGTGTTTAGCAACTACAATTGAAACATTGGCGTATAGTTAAATATATGAGGTGAGGTTATTATGATAACACAGCAAGAATCATATGAGATTATATTTTTCGATCAATTGAAAGCGGCTCAGATACAATGATTTGCCAGAAATGGTTTAGAAACTTTAATTTATCCAAGGAGATACTGATTGATTGTATATATTGGGGTATATATACACAAAACATACAGAGTTTTTCGAATGGAATGGTCAATATAAGTGTAAATCATGGGTAAAATATGCGTAATTAATTAGTTCAGCCTGAAGACTCGGATTTGTGATTGTGAGAAGTTTGTAGTTGAATAACGATAGTAAATTTGAGTTATAGTAAATAGTTATTTATATTTATTACTACTAATGAAGACAGAACGACAATTTTGGGTTGGTGCTAACTGTGATTTGTGGTTTGACATAATAATAGATGAAACGTAACCATCAGACGAAGTGAAATTACCGAGACGGTTCTGATAATATACAATGATAAGAATCCCAAGGACTAGGCCACACACGTAGACAAACACATTACAAATTAAAATTATCATAAAGCAGTGGCAGATCCGGGCACTAACGCCGTATAATAGTCAAATTTGCTAGAAAGTACTAAAATTGTAATGTTCCCAGGAAGATGATGCGCATTTGGTATGTCGCCGTATGATGTATATAGCATTTCTTTTATTTGAAAATAACTCTTTCCCAATATAATTTTCACCTGTGCCACAGCTGCAATACTGTTAAGTCGAATAAGATCGATTGATATACATGTACAGGAGAAAATATACAAATTACAAGTTAAATCTAAAAACAAAACTTTCATTGTTGTGATATGTTTTATTTTCAATTTTAATGGGATTTGTTTGTGCGACAAAGATATCTCAATCCCCCCCAAAAAAAACCTGAGTGTGTCATGTAGATTACTACGTATCTCATTTTATCGAGCATTTATAGTGCACCATGGTCACCTAACCACTCTATATATTGACTTATTTTTGTATATACACCAGGAAAACCTGCATTAGCACAACCATTACCAAAACTGGTGATTCCAGTTAAATACCAGTATCCGAGGCCATCGTCTCCTTTATCAATACAAACCAAAGGTCCGCCAGAGTCACCCTGCAAAAATGAATTGGTATGAATAATAACCGTGAACAGCTATATTGAAAATATGTTTTCATTGTGGCAATTCGCTGGTTTTACTTAATAGTAAATATAGATCATTTTGTGTTTGAGAACTACCTACTTGGGTTGCCTTATAAGCAACCTCATATTATATCTAAATAGCATTAATGCTAGATCTGAAAAAACCACTACATGCTGTTGTGTCTGAAAACCATCTACCACACATACCTCTGATATAACCAGCACATTATATTGTGTACCATATCAATGACACACTAGCACGAATTATGTTGTATATTACAACCACATACCTGACATGCATCTACACCACCTCCAAGATATCCAGCGCACATCATGTTTTCAGTTAATAACCCATCATAGGAACTTGGCGCGTTGCATAATTCTTGAGATATCAGTGGAACCATTGCTTCTTGTAGTATTTCAGATTGTTTCCCACTGAAAGCTAGTGCACACAAAATGTGAGATGCAACGGAATATCAATTTTGATTTCGAGGTATTCTCTAAATCTAAAATGAAGTGTACAGCTGTTTTACTCTGATTAATAGACATATCTGCGGCATATTGAGACTTAAGAAGGATAAAGGAACAGAAGACTTACTTAGAGTGTATCCCCAGCCAGATATGAAACAGTAAGAATGTTGATCAAAGTGAGTCTCGTGTTCGATATCCATACATGCATAGTTGATCTTATTACTCGGAATGACATCCTCTGCTAGTACTAATATGGCTATATCATTGTTAAGTTCCACCTGGTTACTATATTGTGGATGAACAATTACTTCTGCTACATCAACCTCTATAGCCTCTGAGTCAAATGATGTGTCACCACTCAGTGTATGTCGTCCGAGTCTTACTTTCCAGTGAGCACTATTCGACCTGTCAGTAAAACATCGTTTTTCTTGTTATTACATTCATGGTAACACACAGAGAATACAGATTGGTTAGTATTATTATTATTGCAGAAATTTCAGCATATACACATTTCAAAGCTGGTCAGTTCGAGCAATGCCGTTGACGAATGAATATCTGTCTTTTGCAAATTTAACTACGGAAATACCTTTTTCATACTGTCTCACAAATAGAAACGAACAATCTCCTACAGAAACAATGTCAATGTCTGACAGTTTCCTTTATGAACAAACTGCTTGTGACGGCTTTAACTTTTTATTATGACTCTTAGTCAATAAAGAGTGTTATTCTCCATCACGTGACTGCGTACAATCAACGATTTTGAACACGAAATATAATAATACAGTAACATATTTCTAAATAAGAAGTTAACTTCGGAAATACCTTCTTATTTTAATAACCCATTGTTCCCATTCTTACAAATATACCAAACAATATACTATATAACTACAATGAGCATTGCAGAACTTAAATGTGGACAGTGTTCTTTATAAACCACCTGCCTGTAACTGCTTTACTTTTTATGGGGTATATTAATGCACATTGGTTCCTTACATGTCATTGATTTATCCAGGGTAGTCGCGTATATGTCGAAAATTTATGCAGAACGGCCACTTAAATGTAATTGCTCTGTGAAAACCGGTCACTCACAGGTCGTCGTTTTATGCACATTATTTACTTACATGTCGCTTCATTATGTTGATTAGACACTTATATGTCGTCGCCTAATGTAGATTGGTCACAACTTGATTTATGGATATCATCATTTACATGTCATTAATTTATGTAAAATAAACACTTACAGGTTTATGCTTTATGCAGATTGGATACTTACATGTCACCTTGAAAGCAATGTGCTGCTGAGATGACGTGTCTTGCTCCAATCAGTGTACCTCCACAAGCAACGAAATCCCATGGTATGTAATACAGTTGTGCCTGCCACGGCCATGCCCCAGGAGATGCATTTTCGCCACCCACAATACGAGCTTGAGTAACCACACTCCTCGTGCCACAACCGTCACCTAGGTGATACAGAGACGTCATGTCATCGCCTATAAATGCGTACTATTACGTAATATTGTACACAGCTATACATTCATTTATTAAATAATTTGTACACATGTTAAATTAGTTGCATTCAATTCAAAGCGAGAAGGTGTGATTGGACTTATGGATTTATGAATGCCCAATAGTACTGCTTCTAAAAGGCGAATACGTTTGTCTTTAATTCTGTTTTCAAATTAGTAAACATTGACCAATGGTAAATTAAGCATTGGTTATTTTTGAA